CCTCTCCATCCCGATCCATGGTCAGTGCTCCACGTCCTCTCCATCCCTATCCATGGTCAGTGCTCCATGTCCTCTCCATCCCGATCCATGGTCAGTGCTCCACGTCCTCTCCAGCCCTCCAGGCAGATGGGGATTACTCTCTCCCACATCCATGTCTATTCTGCTGCCTTGTTATGCTCCTGCTGCCCACTCTGCTGGGCTGTCTCCTTCCTCTTCCCACCCACTCCTGTCCTGCCCATTCCTGATGGCCTAGTGTGAGCTTGTCTGTCCCCACACCCCCAGCAGCCCCAGATAGGAGCGAGGCACACAGACATGCCCATGCATCTCGTGTGAATGTATCCATGTTGGGCAGAGACACTGAAGGCAACCCAGTCCAGCTGTCAGGCTACTGAAAACTTAGAGATAAAATGGGGAAATTGTCTGGACAAGGTGGGCTTAGTCAAAGCTTAAAGTTAGCAAAAACTAGTGGCATTGTTCTTGAACTTCATAAAGGCCCTTATGTAAGTTACCTATAAATCTTTAAAACTGTAAAATTAATACGTTGTATGGAAGGTAAGCCCACAGTACTGTTTAAATACACGGCAGCCTCAAAGGAGTTTTATTCAAAAGAATGACACACCGTGAATGCGGCGGTTAAAACATGTGGGCAGCCGGGAAAGAATTAGAACGTGGAGAAAAAATCACAAGGGAGGCACACGCTGGTTATTCTGGGACTGCCCCTAAGATGGAAGGAGCAGGACTATTAAAGCACACCTCTGCGGGGATGGACCGCACACTTTAGCATCTGTAAGGACTCCGGCAAAAGTACCAAGGACAACATTGGTACAGCTCCTTACTGTGAACTGAACTGACAGATTCTTTTGTGACTTGATTCTTTCCAAGTGATTTCTTTTTCTTACGAAATCCTAAGGATTTCCAAAGATTTTTAAAACTGAATTTTCCATTCTGTTTCATTTCAGATACACATTTTTCTACAGTGGCATTGTGAGCGAGGTACACGCAACTGAGCGTCCAGCCAGAGTGGGCATTCTGCTGGACTATACCAACCAGAGACTTCTATTTATAAACGCCGAGAGTGGACAGCTGCTCTTCATCGTGAGGCATAGGTTCAGTGAGGGCGTGCATCCTGCCTTTGCCCTGGAGAAGCCTGGGAAATGTACTCTGCATCTGGGCTTAGAGCCCCCGGATTCTGTCAGGCACAAGTGATCCTGGGCATTCAGAGTTTGTAAGAATAGGAGTAAGAATTTGGGGTACAGAGCTGTCATTCTGTCTTTCAGGCACTGTGCGTTATTCAGATAGTCTCCCACACACCTGCACCGACAATAGCTCTGGGTGTCACAGTCAGCATGTGTGGAAAGCCAGGGACCCTGTGCCATGGAGCAGCATGTGAGCAGAGGGGGTGGAAACACAGCCGCCACACTTGGTTCACAGTTGTTTCCTAAATCCAAAGGATTTACACTTGACCCGGGAACCCAAACCAGAGAAAAGAGTTTGTGCCTGCTCCTCTGGTCAAATAAATTGCCCGGTAGCCAGGTCAGAGGGGAGGGAGGTTGTGTCCCTGGCACATCTCCTCTTACAAAGAGACACCAACTTCTCCCACAGGAAAACGTCAGCTTACTTCATTAGACGATAATGAATCTTAGTCATTAGAGAAAATGTTTTAGCTGATCTAAATTTACAACGGAATCTTTTATTATCACGTATGCTATAGAATGCAAACCTCACTTCTCTGAAAATGGAAATGTAGAAAAGTACTAGATATCGGAGATGTCCATTTTGTTAAATAAATGGCTAGCATCTTATAAAATAAAATCTACTGTGTGAACTTATTGCACATAACATATCAGCCCGGCATCTCTGGCCCAGGACATGGTGGAAAGAAAACACCTGTCACGTTCCAGGGGGCAATGCTACTATTGACTCTCACTAGACAGTTTTGCACACAAGCTCCCAGTCCACAGACCTGTACAGTTGTCCATAAAGCGAAACATCGGGAGCTGTGCATCTCTTTTTTATGAAAAGTATGCTTATTTGTTTTTTAGGTATTATAGTGAAACTTCTCAAAATCTGCCTGAAGTATGTATACAAATTTGATGAATCTAGAAGACACGCTGATTGGTCTTCTTTCGGTGATGGGAGTGTTTTAATCATATTTAAAATGTTCTGCTAGCATTCGCTACTTCCTTCCTTCCTCCCTCCCTCCCTCCCTCCCTCCCTCCCTTCCTTCCTTCCTTCCTTCCTTCCTTCCTTCCTTCCTTCCTTCCTTTTCAAAAAATGGGATCTCATTATGTAGTCCTGGCTAGGGTGGAACTCACTATGGAGACCAGGCTAGCCTCATATCAGAGATCTACCTGCCTCTGCCTCCCGAACACTGACATTAGACGCGTGTGCCTCCATGCTTGGCAGTTCAGTTATTTTCTTGAATCGAGAAATAACGTGTTACTTTTTTGGTTACATTTTAAAATTTTTTTTAATAACAAAAATATCTGATCTAAATCTGCACTGGCCCTATAGAGCTCCTTGAAAGAACATCATCACCTCCCTTTTCAAATTAGAGCAGCTGTTGGCAAGATGGTTCGTTCTTGGTGGCAAATGGAATTTTCACTTTTTTTTTAAGACTTGAAACTGTTTGCCTTGGGTTCTAACTGACGAACCACCATTTTTTCAATGAGGATGTACTGTAGCTTACAGACAATACCAGTATAAGCAATCACATGGATTTTAGAATTTGTCTGCTTGGGGTTCTCTAGACATAGACCTAAAACTTAGCACTGCCTGTTCATACAGAAGGTGATTCCAAGCAATGGCAACCAAGGGACTGACCAAAGAGGCAGAAGCTCTGGTGGGCAAGGATTAGGGTCACTTGAGTTGGATTTCCCTCTAGAAGCCACATGGAACATGGCAGAGGTGGGCTCATCACAAACTTCAGTGAGTGGAAGGTTTCTTTAAAGACACTGTTATACATGAGACACATGCTGCTTCTGATGTGCCTGGCAGTTCATCTCAGCAAAAATATAATCAGTAAAGAAGTCTGTGAGAAGCAAGAAGGGAGGAAGAGTAAAGTGGTGGTTCTCTCTCTTTTTCTTTCTCTCTCTCCCTCTCTCTATGTCTCTGTCTCTGTTTCTGTCTCTTTCTGTGTGTCTCTCTGTCTCTCTGTCTCTCTGACTCTCTCTCTCTCTCTCTGCACATACACTTAGCAACCTTGGGTGGGCATGTTCTTCATCAAAACTAGAAAAAAGTAAAATGTGTTCCTGTCGTTTTTCCGGGGACACTTCCCTAAAGCCCAGCAGAGCTTTGGCTCCTAACTTCACAAACCAACACAAATGCTTACAGGTCGAATACCATCACTTTTAAATGGGCAGCATTCTTTAGATTTCATGGATTTCTGAGATCTCTTCTTAACCTACTGTGTTTATTACCAATGAGTCAGCACATGTCCCATTGCTGAGAGAACCCTTGAGCTCCCAACTGTTGATGCTCATGGAACAGCTCCATTTCTGGTAAAGGCATCCATTATAGCCATCTGTAGGAAAGCTTAGCACCTCAGGGGTCCTGACATCTTCAGTATAAGCATGTTTATCCCTTAAGTCTTTGGTTGTATAGTTTTTTTCCTTGTCTCCAGGCTTAAGCCATCAACACTGTGTATTTGAAGCCTTGGTACCAGGAAGCTCAACTCTTGTTTGTAGTAGTGATGGTGGGTTGTGGTGAGACTCTAGCTATGTGACTAGCCATAAACTTTGAGACTCAGTTCTCTGACCCTCCCATGATCCACTAAAAACTAAGTGCAAATTATATATCCAATATATATATATATCTCCAAGTCAGGCTGGTAGGCCAAGACACTGCTCTGAAATGACCAGTGGTTACAAGACTATAGAATGCCCCTTGTTTTCAGACGTTAGGGTCTCTGGCACTGCCCAAGGGTTAGTAACTCTGCAGAAATGCATGTGATCCACTGAGAGTGGCTAAGCTCTTGCCAGAAATGTATGGTCCTGCGGTCCTGAGCCCAGCTGCCGGAGTGTTTCACTAATACAGTCAGATCAATTTTAATACATTGAATTAATGCGTTTGTTAAAAGGGCTGCTATAGTTAAATGGCTGGATCACATCCTCTGTTGACCCAGTGTGATCCCGGAGGCTCTATTCTTTCATTCTTTGCAGGGTCCATCCCTTTCTATCCAAATTTGGGTATAACACTAACCGCAGGGTGTTCTGCCTCCTAGCCCAAATTTCAGGATCTCTTGTCCTGACTACATTTTTCCTCTGACCCTTCCTCTGCTTCTGGATTTCTCCCTCTTCTTCTCTGGCCATTTCATCAGTACTCCAGTTATTGTAGGCCCGTGTAGTCAGTTTTGTTCCCAAACATGAGCATGGTGCCTTTGAGTGTCTTACAGGACACCAGCCCAAGGCTGTGCTTGACATAGCTTAGGTTAAGACTTGGGGCTATATATGTTCATTGCGGCTCACACCTTTAATGCTAGCACTTGAGAGGCAGAGGAGGGTGGATCTTTGAGAGTTTAAGGCCAGAGTGGTCTACAGAGTGAGTTGCAGGACAGCCAGAGAGATCCTATATCAAAGGGGGGTGGGCGGGCGTTTTCAAAGAACACAAAACACCCAGCTGAAGCACTACCTTTGTTCAAAGTTCCTTCTGATCTTTCAGCGGAGGCTTCCTGCTGTAGCAAACGGGCTAGCCCTCTCCAGTTAACTTTGTTTCTTTACACTTCTAGCTTCTGTTCACTTGTGTTTCTTTTTTTAGGTCAGACAGTGGAACTAGAAAACATCAAAATGTGAAAACCTCTCACTAGAATAGACATCTTTTATAACAGTCTGAGAGCAAAATATGCCTTCTTTATCTCTGTCTCTTTTATCTTGTACAAGTCCTGAGCCTCTCAGAACTAAAGGTGCGTTAAACCAATTTCTCATACTCAAGGACACTCTTCTCCCCACGATAGATTTGGCCATTACCTCTTAGAATGGTTTAGAATCCCCTTTACCCCCTCCCCACTTTAGTGGTTTCACAGGACTACTGATTGACTGAAGAAATATCTTCCTGGCCAAGTGGACCTCCCAGGCTGTGTTGGGGCACCCCAAAACCTTGAAGGACTTCACTCCTTGGAAAACTTCAGAGAGAAGTGACAGGCTTCATGACTCTTCAGGGCTTCAGGGCTTGCCACAACTTGGGCAATGAGGACATGAAAACACTGAGAAAGGACAGACACACTGACACATATACAAACACTGGAATCTGGCGGGCTGTGCTTGCTCTGGTGAAGGGCACCAACTGTAACAGCACCCTGGAACCTTAGTCTGTTTACTTAATACATCAGAACCTAGGAGGTAAGTTTATTGTATATGGTTGAATAAGGATGAGGGCTTAGCAGATTTCTATAGGATGTCTCTGTAGAGGAGTAGCCGTCTTGAAGGAGGCAGCTAGTTTCCACACTCACTGCCAACATTGGTACTTGGAGCAGAAGAAGGTTCTGTATCCCTCTGAGCACCCAAGCCTCAAACAGGGAAGGTTTTGCTACGCCCACGATCTGAAGCACTGGGATCCTGGACATGGCTGTGCCCACGCCAACAATCCACATTCACTCGGGACTTTGTCTGCTCCGAACGCGGTCACTCAGGGCTTCCTCCGCGCCTTGAAACAGCCTTCTAGAGCCAATATGTCGTTTAAATATTTAAATACTTCAGAAGTAGGTGAAATAACTCCAAAGGTAGCAGTGGAGGGGTGTGTGTGTGAGGGTGGAGGAGGGAGTGGGAGCTGGGAGGGGAGGAACTGTAGAGGAAAGCCACAGTTCATTCATTGAATCTATTGGTGCTTATTGTGGGGGAGGGGATGAGAGTCGCTATATCAGAGATGTAGCTTTTTATGTTTCTGTGCTGTGCTTCTCAACATTAAACAGGAGTTTCCTGAAGGCCCCTGGGGTAGCCCTTGCCAGGTCTCAGCTCCTGCAGAGAAAGGTCCAGAAAGGCCTCGTGTAAGGGGAGAGATGAAAAGGCACATATTGTGTCTTTCTCAGCTCTGACCAGGAACCCTGTGGCCCTGTTCGCTTTCTGCTTCAAAAGGAGCAGCCCCTGCTGCCTGATTGCCTTAGAACTCCCAAGGAAGCCATACCATTGTATCTGGGCTGACTTTGTGCTGAACAGCCTGTTCCAGCTCCTGACAAAGTAGTAACACCAAAGATGGAAAAATTCAGGCACAAAGTTTTCTGCCATTTCGACTGCACCATTTTTTGCAGTTCCAGAGAAATGAGAGGAAGATGTCACCAAGGTGTCACTGAGGTGGCTGGCCATACAGGACCTCAGAGGTCCCCTTATGTGTACATGCAAGTGAGTGTGTGTACATTTCTCATGTGTAAATATGTCTGACTGTTTAATGTGTGTGCATCTATGAGTGTGTGCACTCATGGGATTGGGAGAATACAGGTTCAGAATTACCACCACAGTGCAGGGTTGGTTTAATGTGTGTGCATCTATGAGTGTGTGCACTCATGGGACTGGGAGAGTACAGGTTCAGAATTACCACCACAGTGCAGGGTTGGTTTAATGTGTGTGCATCTATGAGTGTGTGCACTCATGGGATTGGGAGAGTACAGGTTCAGAATTACCACCACAGTGCAGGGTTTGTTTTCCCACTGACAATCCAGAAGCTGGATTTGTTAGTGTTTCCCCAAGAGTCACCATCCTTGGGTCTCATTCACATTAGCCAATCCATGGGAACTCAATAATTCAGAATGGCAATTGTGTGTGACTTGTATAAAATTGAATGTCCAAGGTGGATGGAGAACATGTACC